AACTAAGGAAAGGAGCAACTAGTCTCTGGGTGATGAGCTGAAGGTTTGAGATCAGCTTTGCCACTTGATCTGCTGGGTAGTGGGAGCCAGCTGCTTGCTGCCACATGGGCCCAGAAGGCCGGGAAAACAAGAGTCTGCATTGCAGTGCTAATGTGAAAGCTAAGCGGGCGCATTCCTTAGGAGAGAAGCCCGTAGCCCTTGCCTGGGTGGAAAACTAGTCCCAAGGATGTGACCTTTCTTTCCTGGAACCAATAGGGTTCATCCATTCATTCAATATTTTGATTTTTAAAATATTGCCTTAAAACATTCTTAACCTTGATTGGTGAGGTGTTTTGTTTTGAGACAGGGTCTCTCTGTCACCCAGGCTGGAGTGCAGTGGCACAATCATGGCTCACAGTAGCCTTGAACTCCTGGGTTCAAGTGATTTCTCCGGCCTTAGCCTCCTGAGTAGCTGACACCACAGGGGCATGCTGTCACGCTCAGCTGATTTTTTACTTTTTGGTAAAGATGGGGGTCACCCCCTGTTTGCCAGATTAGTCTTGGTCTCCTGGGCTTGAGCAATCTTCCTGTCTTGGCCTCCTGAAGTGCTAGGATTACAGGCATGAGCCATGCACCCATCCTAGAATAGTTTTAAGAGAAAAGGTGGGAGATTCGTTGTCATTCCACTGCCCAGAAGGAACCACAGTTAATATGAAAATTATTGTGAATTAATTTTCACCCTGGCAGGTCGTTGGAGATGGGAAGTAATACAGACAGGGATGCAATGGCATGTACACCCTCCAGACCTTGTCTCCAAAACCCCACGTTTATGTCTCAGAAAAATGTACACCCGTGCACATGGCAATGAAAACGTGCATTTATTTAGAACACTCGTTTTTATACTTGGCTGCACACTAGAGCCTCCTGGGGAAGCTTTTAAAAATTCTCCTGCTCGGGCAACACCCAGAGATGACATAATTATTAATCTTAACATACATATGTAGGCCAGGTACAGTGGTTCACACCTGTAATCCCAGGACTTTGGGGGCCGAGACAGAGGTCAGGAGTTCAAGATCAGCCTGGCCAACGTGGTGAAACCCCATCTCTACTAAAGAAATACAAAAGTTAGCCAGATGTGGTGGCAGGCACCTGTAGTCCCAGCTACCTGGGAGGCTGAGGCAGGAGAATTGCTGGAACCCAGGAGGTGGAGGTTGCAGTGAGTGGAGATTGCCTGGGAGACAGAGCGAGACTCTTATAAAATGAAATATATATGTACATATATATAATTTGTAGAAAACATGAAGTATCACAAGAAACTAGAATTAAGACCAGAGAAGGAAAGGTAATGGGGTGACAGGAGGTCTTTTCTGTTTTATTTTTTAATTTATTGCTATTTTCACCATAAAACTGGGGGTACATTACTTTTAAATTTAAACAACTGTTAATAGAAACCTCTTATTATTTATTTTATTTATTTATTTATGTTGAGACAGGGTCTTGCTCTATTGCCCAGGCTGGAGTGCAGTGGCATGATCTTGGCTCACTGCAACCTCTGCCTGCCGGGTTCAAGTGCTTTTCATTCCTCTTTCTCCCAAGTAGCTGAGGTTACAGTCATGGACCATCACACCAGGCTAATTTTTGTATTTTTAGTAGAGACAAGATTTCATTGTGTTGGCCAGGCTGATCTCGAACTCCCAACCTCAGGTGATCTGCCTGTCTTGGCCTCCCAAAGTGCTGGGATTGCAGGCATGAACCACCGTGCCCAGCCTATTTTTTTATATTTTAATAAAAGGTAACTATTAGGGCCAGGTGCAATGGTTCATGGCTGTAATCCCAGCACTTTGGGAGGCCAAAGTGGGCAGATCACCTGAGGTTGGGAGTTTGAGACCAGCCTGGCCAACATGGTGAAACCCTGTCTCTACTAAAAATACAAAAATTAGCTGGCCGTGGTGGCAGGTGCCTATAATCCCAACTACTCAGGAGGCTGAGGCAGGAGAATTGCTTGAACCGGGGAGGTGGAGGCTGCAGTGAGTCGAGATTGTGCCACTGCACTTCAGCCTGGGCGACTGGGGGAGATCAGTCTCGAAAAAATAGAATAAAATGTTAAAAATGAAACTGCAGCTTCCTAATCCCAGCTCCTGACCTATTACCTGGGGTCCCTGAGGCAGGCCCAGGAATCTGTACAGGGTCTGCGGGTTTCTCCAGGTGGCATCCCTTCTGTCTCTAGCCTCTAGCAATGTCTCGTGTCTGTGGCTGTGGCCCCTTCGTGCTCCATGCATCCCAGCACCATATTCTCCCTCTCTCAGCTTCCATGCTTATGTGACGTGTGTCTCCTTCACAGCCATAATCCTCTCTTTGAGAGCCTAAGTTAGACCTTACTATGGTGATTTCTTAATTTCATTTATTTATTTACTTATTTATTTTTTTGGAAGCGGAGTCTTGCTCTGTCGCCCAGGCTGGAGTACAGTGGCACAATCTCGGCTCACTGCAACCTCTGCCTCCTGGGTTCAAGCGATTCTCCTGCCTCAGCCTTCCCAATAGCTGGGATTACAGGCATGTGCCATCATACCTGGCTCATTTTTGTATTTTTAGTACAGATGGAGTTTCACCATGTTGGTCTGGCGCTCCTGACCTCAGGTGATCTGCCCACCTCAGCCTCCCAAAGTGTTAGGATTACAGGTGTGAGCCACTGCACCCAGCCAATTTCATTTATTTTTGTGTGCAAGGTTTAGTATTGCACTCTGCCCACAACTAAAGCCCAATAAAACTTGATGATATGCTCTACGGGAATTTCTTAGAATCTGTCATGTGAGATTTCGGCTTAGTGTGTTTGCTTCTGTCACACACCAGTCTCAACCTTTACCAAAAAAAAAAAAAAAAAAATCAGCTTTGATTTTTAGATTCAGGGGGTGCATGTGCAGGTTTGTTTTTATGGGTACATTGCATGTTGCTGAGATTTGAGGTTTGGATGATCCCGTCACCCAGTTAGTACCCAATGGGGAGTTTGTCAGTCCTCGGCCTCTCCCTCTGTCCGCCCTCTGGTAGTCCTCAGTGTCTGTTGTTCCATCTTTAAGTCCCAACCTGCTTTTTGAATGTGAACCTCCTGTTCAGCCGCTGGCCCAAGGGGCGAACTTTGCCGGTGTAGGGCACTGAGCTGGGTGTGCTCTGAGGTCTCTGCCCTGTTACCTTACCTGACCTCAGGCAAGACCACAACCAGAATCTTAAAGACCTTAATTGGTGGCTCCTAAAAGCCAGTTTAACATCACTGGGATATCCAGCGATGTTTGTTAAAAATAGATTCCTGATTCCTACCCCAGACCCACTGAGTTGGTGTTAGGAGAGATGAGTTAAGATTTTCTTTTTTTTTTTTCAGACAGAGTCTTGTTCTGTAGCCCAGGCTGGAGTGCAGTGGCACAACCTCGGCTCACTGCAACCTCCGCCTCCTGGGTCCCAGTTCGAGCAATTTTCCTGCCTCAGCCTCCTGAATAGGTGGGATTACAGGCACATGCCACCATGCCCAACTAGTTTTTGTATTTTTAATAGAGACAGGGTTTACCATGTCGGCCAGGCTGGTCTTGAACTCCCAACCTTCCAATCCACCCGCCTTGGCCTCCCAAAGTGCTGAGATTACAGACATGAGCCACCGTGCCCGTCATGAGTTAAGATTTTCAAAAGCTCTCCAGGTGATCCTGAGGCTCTGGCAAGTATGTAAAATACTGTACTGTCCAAGCTCATCTAAATACGTATTCTGTTGCACACACACACAGAGAGTCTATGTTTATGTTCTTTATCTGAGATTCTGCCATAAACATCAGTGTGAGTAATCATGGAGGTAGGGGCAGCAGTTCTTTGATGAGGCTGTTCCATATTGTACCTGCGAAATCTCAGCTAGAGGGCAGGTCCCACTAATGTTAGCCCAGTTTTAACGCCAGCAGCACAAGAGCTTATTTGGAAATGATTTTCGTAACTACAACAAACGCCTCAGTGTCCTGCCGATGGCCTGGGCATCTGCCATTTCTGGGCACACCTGTCCAGGTGGTGACTGCCCACGCTGCACCTCTGCCTGAGGGGTTTCCTGCTGATCCCAGTCTGTCTGCACAAGGCAGGCAGAAGTGCTGGGAATGGAGAATCACAGCCACCCACTGCAGCCAGTGACTCACCCCAGCTCCTGGAGGGGCAGGATGACACCAAGTGTGTGCTGGACTGTCTCCCTGCATTGCGCAGAAGGACTGGACCTGAGTTGCCCACCATGTAACTGGCTGGGTAGCTCCTCCTGGACTGGATCCTACCCTCCCCCGCCTCACATCTTTGTTCCAGCATAGGTTCTTCCCGGGATCACCTCTCAAATAAACTACTTGTACTGGAATTTTTGTTTCAGATTCTGTTTCTGGGAAAACCCAAATTAAAAAAAAAATTTTTTTTTTAAGATGGAGTCTCATTCTGTCTCTGAGGCTGGAGTGCAGTGGCTCAATCTTGGCTCACTGCAACCTCCACATCCCGGGTTCCAGCGATTCTCCCATTTCAGTCTCTTGAGTTGCTGGGACTACAAGTGCATGCTACCACATCCGGCTAGTTTTTTGTATTTTTAGTAGAGATGGGATTTCACCATGTTGGCCAGGCTGGTCTCGAACTGCTGACCTCAAGTGATCTGGCTACCTCGGCCTCTGAAAGTGCTGGGATTACAGGCATGAGCCACTGCCCCCAGCCCAAATTAAATTTTTTTTTTAAAGTTTACTTTGCTCACAATAATGAAAACATTAAGGTGGGCCAGCTGAAAGAATAAAAATCTTCCTAAAGCAGGTAGTGCTTTGTTTTGTTTTTTTCTATGCTGGCATCCGTTTGTGTTAGGTATGCTCAGATGGATGCTATGATCCTTTGTAGACAGTTTTGTCCCCTGCTCTAACCGTTGTCCTCATGCTGCCATGAATCCTTGGTCAGGATGACTTTTACTGGCTTCATAGTTGGGTTGTTCTGACTTGGCTGTGACCAACCGATGCTGTGTCTGCCCCTTGTCCTTGCAGGCATTCGTCCCTACAAATGCAATGTCTGCAATAAAGCCTTCACTCAGCGCTGTTCCCTGGAGTCCCACCTGAAGAAAATCCATGGGGTGCAGCAGCAGTATGCCTATAAGCAGCGGCGGGACAAGCTCTACGTCTGCGAGGATTGCGGCTACACGGGCCCCACCCAGGAGGAACTGTACCTGCACGTGAACAGTGCCCACCCGGGCAGCTCGTTTCTCAAAAAGACATCTAAAAAACTGGCGGCCCTTTTGCAGGGCAAGCTGACATCCGTACACCAGGAGAATACCAGCCTGAGTGAGGAGGAGGAGAGGAAGTGAGAAGGAAGGGAGGACAGACGTTCACACTGCCATGTATGTCTACGTGGATTTTTGGTTTTCAGCATCCCCCACCCCACTGGCTCTTCTTAATTAGAAATGTCCAGTTCACCTCTGTGTCCTTTTGGAACATCAGCAATCGGATCCGTTCCAAGATTGTCAGTTACCGTAGTGCCGTCAGGCCCTGTAACCCGTGTCCTGTCTGGTGCACTTGCTCACATTCACCAAAGTTTGTTTTCCGCGATCCTGATAGCCAAGAACACCATGCGGGACTTTTTTTTTTTCTTTTCCAAGGATTTTCACACATGGAGGGAGAGGTATTTCTTAGAGCAATCATCATTTTATGGTGCCTTGAAATAAAAATACTTCTACTTGAAATGCTGTTTAAGCAAGGAAAATGAATTTTGTTATTCTGAAAGAGTTTACAGAAATTATTTTAATAAATGAAATGTTCTTGTGAAGCTTTCAAAGGCCAAGTGAAACATTGACCCACAGCTCTCTGTTCAGAGCTTATTGTGTGATGTTTCGTTTCAGGTTATTGAGATGGGGAGGTTGATTATGTTGTATTAGTGGTGTGGGTTTGAAGAAACAGATCTTTCTCTCTCTTTTTTTTTTTGTTTTGTTTTTGAGACAGGTTCTCACTCTGTCGCCCAGGCTGGAGTGCAGTGTTGCAATCATGGCTCACTGCAACCTTGACCTCCCAGGCTCAGGTGATCCTCTCCCACTTCAGCCTCCCAAGTGGCTGTGACTACAGGTGTGTGCCACTATGCCCAGCTAATTTTTGTATTTTTTTTGTAGAGATGGGATTTTGCTGTGTTGTCCAGGCTGGGATCAAATCTTGAGTGTTGGGTGGAAGAACAAATGGCTGATTAGAAAAACCTACACTAAGGGGTTGGCTCATGCAGGCTGGTGGGCAGAGACGCCTGGGGTGGCATGGCAGGGAGCTCAACTCTAGGGTCTCTTTTTATGGGCCTGGTGTCTTTCTCTGCAGAGGTCTTGGCTTTCTGAGGTTAGGATGCACTGGCTGAAGCCTCTTCTCCCTCCCTTGAATGGGCTCTGGGCCAACCCTGGAGCATGAGAAATGTTGACTCCTCACTTGCAGGAGGGATAGCAGTGTCAGGAGTTCCCTCAGGGTGCGTGACAGCTGAGTGCAGTGACCTCTGCTACCTCCATCTCCTCACCTTGGAGTCCTGTGTCAGAGCCATGGAAGGTGAGACTCTGATAGGGCAAAATGTGGGCAGCTGGCCATGCGGGGAGGGGAGAAGTTTTCCTCATCCTGCCTGCCTCAGGAAGTATTTGCCACAGGCTGGGAGCTGCTACCTGAATTGAGTAGGAAGTTCAGATCATCTACACCCCAATCCCCTACACCGCATCACCTATACCCCAGTCACCTACACCCAGATCACCTACACCCAGTCACCTACACCCCATCATCTGTACCCTGGTCACCTATACCCCAGTCACCTACACCCAGATCACCTACACCTGATCACCTACACCCCAGTCATCAATACCCCATCACCTACACGTCAATCACATTGACCCTGATCACCTCCATCCCATCACCTACACCCCATCACCTACACCCCAATCACCTGCACCCTGATTACCTATACTCCATCACCTACACCCCATCAGCTATACTCTGATCACCTACACCCCGTTGTATTTCCTTGCCCACTCCTGGGCACCACCTGGGCCACTCCTTGGTCTAGGGAAAGATTGCTAGACCCTTGTCTTGTTTCCTCCCTCTCTGCTTCCTCTCCTCTTCTTTCCTTTCCCCTCCCTCCTTTCCTTCCACCTTCTCTCCTTCTCTCCCACATTGTGAGCCAGGCATTATGCCAAGATCTGGACATTTTAAGTGGCATATTCTATAGCCTGAGCCAACATTTCTCTTCCAATTCAGTGCTTTTGTTTCAGAAGGAAAGGAAACAAACCCTTTTTGGGCAGTGAGCTAGGTAGCCCTCACTGTGCAGATGTTTGCTGGGAGAATCCTCAGAGCACCCCTGGGGTCACAACCCTGTTTTCATGAGTAGATGAGGCAACTGCAGAGGTTGTTTTCTGGAGGTCGGAGGCAGAGGCCAGGAATCCTGAGTCTAGTCAGAATGCCTCAATTTCCCTCTCTCCTCACCCTCTCTTCAAAAAAGAAAGCAAAGGCTTCAGGCTGGACTGGAACCACGCAGAGGCAGGTATGGGACTAGGGCTGACTGAGTGGGGTGGGGGGGGTCCTCACTTCTCTGCTGCCTGGACTGGCAAGGTTCAGGGGCCATGGGGCCCTGCCCTGCCTCATCTGAAGCTCCAGGCTCCTGGGATGAGGCTGTAGCACAAAACAATCTAAATGGCTCCATTCAGGCAGCAGCAGCAGCAGCAGCAGGGGTTGAACCTGGCACTCAAGTATCACAGGTGCAGCCTCCCAGGACAGCCAGCGCTGAGGCTCAACCCTGACTCCAGGGATCAGAGTACTAACATTGTATTCTCTCCTAGCACCTGCCTCGGAGGAGACTGGCTGGAAGGTGGTTGATTTGCTTTCTTCTTGGTGATCTGGGCCATGTAGACAACAAAAGTGAGCATTCTTAGAAAGGAATATCCAAATGACAGGACTGGGGCAGCTGGCCTGTGCCTGTTTTGCACAGGGAATTGTGAACCAGTTGACGTTCTCTTTAGGGTCAGGTTTTTACTAAGCAGAGTTCTTGGTTGCAAGGGACAGAAACCCAGTGTAAAACAACTTTAGCAGAAAAGGGATTGTAGTAGCTGAAAAGTCTAGGGTCGTTCCAGTTTCAGGGGGTGGCCAGATCTGGTGCTTACGTGATGTCCTCTCTTACCTCTCTCCGTCTTTTAGCTCAATTTCCCCAGTGGTGGCTCCTTTCTCAGGCTGGCACAAATGGAGGCTGGATGGCCACCCACAGCTCTGAACTTCTGCCTCATAGTGCAGTTGCCCAGTAGGAGGGTTTCTCTTTCAGGCTAAGATCTTGGGCGGATTTGGCTCTGGGGCCCACCCTCAACTAATTAGTGTGCCCTGGGATATGTGTAGCTCTCTAGACCAGACCTACACTCCTCCCCTGCTGAACCTAGTGGAAAGAGCACAGGTCAGCTACACCCCTGGTCTGGGAGCAGTCAGAAAGGGGTTGCCCAGCAGAAAATCAGGACGTCATGGCCAGAAGAGGAAATGGACATTGGGCAGCTACGCTAGTTAAGTTAAGGCATGGCTTGGGTGCCACCATGCCTGGCTGATTTTTGTATTTTTAGTAGACATGGGGTTTCGCCATGTTGGTCAGGCTGGTTTTGAACTCCTAACCTTAAGTCATCTATCCACCTTGGCTTCCCAAAGTGCTGAGATTACAGGTGTGAACCACTGTGCCCGGCCCAGCCTACACTGAGGGTCTGGCTCACGCAGGCTGGTGGGCAGAGGCATCTGGGGGTGACTTGGCAGGAAGCTTAACTCTTTGGGCTCTTTTTAAGGCCCTGGTCTCTCTTTTTTTCATGTATTTTCGGTTCCTCCAGAAGCCAGTTCTGAAGGCAAGGATTAAAGTTCAAGTGGATTGCTTGGGAAGTGATCCCAGAAAGTATCTGCAGGGCATTGGGAGGTGTGACAGGAAGAAAAGTGCCCATGTGGGGAAGAGAATCAAGGAAGTGACTGCTGTGGGTAACTGGTGCTTAATCGCCCTGGGGCCCTCCGGGGGGGCAGTACAGCATGCGCCTGAGAGTTAGCCCACTGCGGATGCGTAGGACACTGTTCGCAACTCTCCATCCATCGTTGGTTGAAGGCTCCTGACATTGGAGCCCTTCCAACTTGCCCTGCGCACTGGCCAAGCATGCTTCCTGTGCCAGAAAAATCCCCAGAGGTTAGCCGTAAGCAGCTTTCAGCACATACACCTGAAAGCCGGCAAAACAGGGTGAGATGATGGCTGTGTCTGATACGGGTGTGGAAGGGTCACAGCCCCTTCCTGAAGACACTGGCCTGGGTGTGGCCTTTCCATTCCCATTCCATAGGGAGAATTTAGTCATATTAACTAGAGGGGTGGAAAAAAGCAGGCCTCTCAGCCACAACACTTCTGTGCAGCAGAATGGGGACGGATTATGGTGGATGACTGGCAGGCAAAACCAACTGACGCCCACTCTAGCCTTTTTTTTTTTTTAAGATGGGGTTTCACCATATTGGTCAGGCTGGTCTCAAACTCCTGACCTCAGGTGATCCGCCCACCTCTGCCTCCCAAAGTGCTGGGGTTACAGGCATGAGCCACCACGCCCAGCCACTCTAGCCTTTTTTGCTCCCTCCTCCTTCCAACTCTATTTACGGGTCCTGGTCTCAGCCAGTTGCCAGGAAATCCAGCCAAAGTGCCCAAGATCATGACTTAGGGTTCTCAGGCTGGCAGCCCTGGAGCCTTGGGTCTGAAGGTGGTGGAGATGGAGACCCATGAGGTATTAACCTGTACTGACTCCACCCAGCACTATCTGCTTTGGGCTGGTGTTAGTGTAGCACTGTGTAGATATGCTGATGCTCATGCTAGTCAGAAGTGCCTACTGGTCATTCATTTCGGAGAAAGGGATCTGTCATCATCAGTATAATTTATTTTGTGAATGTCGTAAGTTGGGCCTAGAAGCAGAGTCTGAGACAAGGATTCTGGGGTGATTTCTTGAGGGAAGCTCTCAGGAGAAACCAAGAAGGAGATGAGGGAAGCGAGGTACAGCAGAGGAAGAAACTAGGCAAAGACACAGGGCTAGCCAACGTCCAAACTCGGCCTGATCCCAGGCGGCTCTGGAGTGTGAATGGCACCATCCATGTCATCCCACCTTGAGGCAAGGGGGGCCGGCATCAGCTGTGGGCTGCTCCTGGTCAGGAAGGCGTAACCACCAGGCGTTTTCAGCAGCAGCAACGATGAGCTGTTTAGCAGTCAATGCCCTGAGCAGCTGCAGACTGGCTCTCTAGAGGTCTCCAAGCAGGGGAAGAGAGAAATCACAGGGATGAATTCTTAGGGGTGAAAAAGATTGAGGTCCACAGAATCTGGCTACAGCCCTCTGGAACGTTTGCATTTTGATAAAGGACTTGCTTTTGGAGCTAAGGAGTGAATCGTTTATTGCAAATTATGAGGCATTTTCAGAAGAAATAAAATAATATATAAAAATGTATACAAAGAAAAGTCCTATCTGCAAACGAGTCCCTTATCTGCGAAGCCTCTCCTCTACCCTTGTAGTTAACCACTGTTATTAGCTTCTCCTGTCACTTTCCTGACTTTCTTTCCCCATATATAAGCAAACATGAATGTGTGTATTCTTGCTGTCCGCTGTTTCTTCTTCTTTTGGCATTTTAATTAGCAGATAGCATGCTATACATACTGTTTGGCACTTTGCATTTTTCTTTTTTATTTTTTTAAGTTTTAAATCTTATTTTTTGTGGGTACATAGTAGGTATATACACATTTTTCTTTTAATAGTACATCAATAGTTCTTTCCAAAATAGTACAAAAAAGTGTTTTCATACAAAAAAATT